TGGTTGTTAAGTGAATCTGGCTTCCCTATTGATTTTGCTTGTCAGAAGGTCGCAAAAGATGATCACATGATCTCAGGACACTGCAAAGGTCATAAATTATGAACCGGTTGCCAATAGTCTGAATTTTGATCACACGATAACGGGGATGTTGTAAAAGTCACAACTGTGAAAAACAGTCATAAGTCACTTGTTCCGTGCCGCTGTAACTTTGAAGAGACACTAAATGAACTGTTGTAAGTGGAGGACTACCAGTACTGCTGAAGTACAACAGTGGCTTAAGCCAGTGGTTCCCAAGCTGGCTGGAGAATTCTGGGAGTTGAAGTCCACAAGTCTTAAAGTTGCCAAGTTTGGAAACCACTGGCTTAAGGGAACAGTAAATGTCCTAGATTCCAGTCCTTTATATTTTCACTTACAAAAAGCTCATTTCTAGAAAGAAGAACAGTCTAACATTGTGACCACTGGATATCAAGCATAAAGCAACGCTTAGGAACATAAAAAGTAATGATGTAGTTAATCCTACAGGCAAACAGAGAACGATATTAAATCAATAAAGCCCCTGCATTATTGAACAGAAGAAGGAGAGAGAATCATGTTTACCTTCACAGTGTGAAATTGAACTGAAGAGCTGTGTCTTCCAGATAGCAAAATCATCCACACTGCTATTAATTTCTCCTTGGATATATATGAGACTTCTGATTAATGCCATCTGTGATCCAATTTGATTGACCTGAGAATCGGGTGGTGTAAACAACAGCTCAATATCTTGCAGTTGGGTTGAAACCTTCAGCAAATAATCCACTCCTGAAGAGCACACTTCAAAGCTTTTCCTGAGAAAAAAACATTGAAAGGGACATTTGAAACTAAATAAAAACTGCATGAATAAACATGGAGTGGTTCCTGTTGCACTTTTGAGTGACTTGACATTAGAAATACAATACACACATACACATTTACAGTAGCAAAACAGGCCAGATTTAAGTACCTCGCGGGTCAGATCTGGCCCGTGGGCCTTGAGTTTCACACCCCTGAGCTAGGCTACCAGCCTAGCACTGAATACCTCTTTGAAATATGATGGACTCTGATTGTAGGAGTAAGTTAGCTTTCCTGTAGGCACAAACTCTAGAAAAGGTATAATCCTACTGAGGCAATTACATGCAGCTTGCAAACAAATGCAACCCTCCTTTTTTGTCCCAGTTTGGTAGGATGGATCTCACTTACCAAGAATGGAAAAGAGTCTCAGAAGACACCTGTTTTATTCTGTCCACGTCTGATTTTACTGCCTTCACCTCTACTAGCATCTCTTTCACCTTGGAAGCCAGCTGCTGATATATCGTATCCTGTTTTCGCATCCTGCATGCGGCAGGCAGCTGTTCTGGACTCACTGGAGTGAGATACTGTAGCTCTGACGGATCCAGTTCTGGAAGTGACTTTAGAATAGTGGAAGAATTCAATTCCACCCCTTCAGATTTTATTTCTGTCCTAGAGGTATTCAAAGTCTGGTCTTCTGGACAGCATTCTATAAACCAAGACAGCTGTTCTAGAAGCACTACACACTGCATGGAAAGATACTGCAATCTGTCAATCCACTGCTGAACACCTTCTTGGGGAGGGAAAACCACTTCGTATTCATTTCCAGGAGACAGCCTGGCATCAATCTCTTGTATACAGCTTAGCTGATTCCTGTTCAAGAGATTCACATAAGTAATAAACAGATTTATTGGTAATTAAAATGCAATTATTACAATTCTACTTGATATTTCACCATCCTGTAACAGAGCTATTTTTCTTCTGAATTTGTTTTCCAACACACCCAGGAAGCCTGCGGATTTGTGTATTCAAGCTTTCCTCAACTGGTACCTTCAACCAGAGAAAGCAGGGAATTGTCATATTCTTCCTCAATATAGACTGAGGAAGGCCTGATTAATGAGAGGGATAATAATGGCAACCTCGGGTGAGCAATACTGTCCCCAAAGAATGACAACCTCATTTCTGTTCAATTTTCTTTAGACAGGCTTACAGTGGGAAAAAGAAAATCCTGCTATGAAAAAAAATTACCTGAAATTAGACCAATTCAGCAATTATTTTAAGTAACTCCAAAGTATGAGAAAATCAAATCTTTCAAAAACTGAAAGAAGTATTTGTGTGCCCCATGCAAAATCTCCATAAAATTAATGATTTAATTGGGCTTAGAGATGGGACATGCATAACTATATGATTTACCAATTAAGCAATTACATTTTATTTTTTGTATCACAGGGCTCTCAAACTCTGTGGTACTGTATTGTATTGTATTGTATTGTATTATATTGTATTGTATTGTATTGTATTGTATTATTTGTATGCNAACAATTACGTAATTACAGGAGGTAATTGCGCTCAGCTGGTGGTCATTAGGCTCCTCTCCAGCCTATAAAAAAGACTGCTTCTGCACATGCCCCTTTTGCAGAAGTCAACGCATTGACTAAAGAGAACTTTTGTAACTAACTTGGCAGGTTGTATTGCTGCCAAGGTTTGTCTGAGTTGCTGCCAAGGTTTGTCTGAGTTGCTGTTTGTTTGCTTGGCTTTCAGCCGCCAAAATTTTGGTCTTGCTATTAAAGTACATTCTAGTTAAGCTTGTCTCGGCTTTCGTTACTGGACGGGGGTCAGAACAGAGAACCTTTGGCAGGTGTGCCACAGGTGGCATGCAGAGCCCACTCTGCGGGCATGCCAGCCGTCTCCCAGCCTAGCTCCACTGCGCATGCATAGATGCCTCCTGCTGGCCAGCTGATTTTGGGATCTATGCCACGTGCGCATGCGCTGGGAGTGGGGAGGTTGCAGGCACATGTGCGGGGGTGGGGTGAGTGGGGGGGGGCAGCGTCCCCCTGTGCCCTGTTTTTGGTCCCAGGAGGCTTCAGGGAAGCCTGTTAGGCCCAAACCAGGTTGTGAGGAGGGTATGGCCTACCCCACACCCTGCTTTTCGTCCCAGGAGGCTTCAGGGAGGCCTGCTAGGCCCAAAACAAGACATGGGGGGTTTTTTTGTGTCGCGCATGCCTGTGGGCGGGTCATGTCCATGCACAGGGGACGGGCGCATTGCATTATGGGTGTGGGCACACACTCGCACTCATACGTTTTCAGCATCACTGATCTAGTTTAATGAAAAGAAGGAGTAGGGGGTGACATGATAGCAGTTCTGGCTGGAGAATTCTGGGAATTGAAGTCCACACATCTTAAAGTTGTCGATGTTGAATACTCTTGTTTAGAGCAACAAGAAAAGAAGACCTTTTTAAGAATCCCATACAAGTAGTCCTTGACTTACGACCACAATTTAGCCCAACCTTTCTGTTGTGAAGTGAAACATTTGTTAAGTGAATTTTGCCTCGTTTTACAACCTTTCGTGCCGGAGCTGTTAAGTGAATCACCGCAGGTATTAAGTTAGTAACACGGTTGTTAAGTGAATCTGGCTTCTCCATTGACTTTGCTTGTCAGAAAGTCACAAAAAAGGGACCACATGACCCCAGGAAGATGCAACCGTCATAAAGATGAGTCGGTTGCCAGGCCTCTGAATTTTGTCTCACACGACCACGGGAATGTGTCAACGGTTGTAAGCGTGAAAAAGAGTCTTAAGTTACTTTTTCCAGTGCCGATGTAACTTTGAATGGTCACTAAATGAACTGTTGTAAATTGAGAAAGACCTGTATTTGAAATAGGGGTTTTCATTTGGTCCTACCTCATATGAAGGGCCTCTTGAGCACCGGAGGAGCTGAGGTCGGACAGAGAGTCCGAACTGACGGAGACCGGAGAGATGGATTGCTCTTTTTCTTCCAGCAAATCAATTTTCACCAAGGAGCTCGTCTCATCTTCAGAGTTATCCTCCGAAATGGAGCCGATGATGAAATGGGAATGTAAATTCAGCTCCAGAAGCTTCTCGTCCAGAGGTGGTTTGTTACTCATCGTGCCGGCAAAGAAGGTTTGTACCGCTAAGAAGAAAACCAAAACGATATAAGCTTGTTAACTGTAATAAATATGATTAAAGGTAAAAGTTCCCCTCGCACATATGTGCTAGTCCAGTGTTTCTCAACCTTGGCGACTTTAAGCCCTGTGGACTTCAACTCCCAGAATCCCCCAGCCAGCTATGCTGGCTGGGGGATTCTGGGAGTTGAATTCCACAGGACTTAAAGTCGCCAAGGTTGAGAAACACTGTGCTAGTCATTCCCACGTCTAGGGGGCGCTGCTCATCTCCATTTCAAAGCCGAAGAGCCAGCGCTGTCCGAAGACATCTCCGTGGTCATGTGGCCGGCATGACTAAACGCCAAGGGCGCACAGAACCTTCCCACCAAAGGT